TTTGTGATAAGATTAGGATTAATCACACAAATAATCTCATAAAGTTACCCTCAATTTCACTTTAATTTTTAACTTTTAAAATGTCACAATTAATTCTTGATGTTTTATTCTGTGTCAATTTTAATTTTTATATTAAATAGATATTAAATATTTGACAAAATTTATATAAATAAGGGATCAAAATTAGAAATAGATAAAATTTAGAGATTATATATGAAAATTAATTTTTATTTTTTGTATTATTTTAGTCTTTAACTTCACATATTTTCAATTTTGATCCACAATTTGTATAAATTCCGCCAAATATTTAGGTCGTGTTTGGAATTGATCTCGTTTTTATTTTTTACGTTTTTTAAGAAAGAAAAAATGAAAACATTTTTAAAACGACGTTTGGCGAAATAAAGACAAAAACCAGAAATGAAAACGGGTTTTTGGTTTAGTGTAAAATGAGAGAAAAATGAAAAATGACTTTTAGTTGTTTTTCATTTTTTGTTTTCGTTTTCTTCTCTCTCGAGCAGAGAGAGAGAGAGAGACATTACTGAGTTTTTTTATACTGAAAATAATCTTTTAATAAAACTACTAAATGTATTTTTAAAAATAATTTTTGTCTGAGATTGAAAACATTTTCATTTTCATTTTCATACAAAAAATAAAATTATTTTGAAACGAGTTCCAAATACACCCTTAACACCGTGTAAACAAAAGGATCAAAACTTAAATAAAATAAAATCTTAAAGACCAACTGTTGTACGTTTTTAAAAGTCATAGACTAAAATATGAGTAAGGGTAAACCTCAAGGACCATTTGTGCAATTAACTCATAAAATTATTATTATTTACCTTTTATACCTTATTTTTAAATTTATTTAAAAAGTATACCATTAATTTTTAATCTCATCAAATGTACACTTTTTAAATTAGTTTATAAGATTCATAGTCTACTGATTTTCGTATATCAATTTATTGGGCAGGTTTTTTTTCGTTTTGTAAAGTAAAAAGGCTCTTTTTTTTTTTGTTGGTTCTTGAGAGCTCATCAACTATTTTTAAATTTGAACCTTCTATGCACTTTTATAAGGCTCCCTTTAGTAAGAGAGATTGAGAGGAAAAATGATGGAGAGGATTGGAGAGATAGAGAATGTGAATGATGAAAATGATTATAATAATCATTTTATATTATTTAGTAGGAAGAATGAGATATTAAATGTTTACTTATCAGGATTGAAGAATGAGAGTGGAGAAATGGAGTCAATTCTATGTTTACTTGTTTTTTTTTTATCCTGGAATGAGAGTGAGATTGGTGGACCCCACTCAAATTTGGAATTGAGGAATGGGATTGACACTCCCATGTCCCTCCTTGGGATTGAGATTCTCATTCCTAATATTAATATTAATTTACTATTATACCCTTATTTTACTTATAAATACACAATTAAAAATAAAATTTAAAAAATAATAAATGCAACATATAATTATTATTTTATTTGCCTAATATTATAATATTAGCATAATTATTGTTAACTTTAATATAATAAATATGTACTTTATTTTTAATAAATTAATAATATATTTTATTTTTTAACACTATTTTTTATTTTTATTTATTTTATTTAAATTTATTTAAAATTTATTTTTATATTTTAAATAGTTGTACAATTTATATTTTTTATTTTAGTACCCAATTATTACACTAAATATTTTAATTATGATTAATTTTAATATAATAAGTACACAATATATTTTTTAAATTGAAAATATCAAATTGATTTAAAGGGTATATTAGTACTTTTACACTTTTTCATTCCGATTATGGGTGTAAGTAAACGTATAAATGAGATTTAGAATGACTCCGATTTTAAATCTTATCACTAAGTAAACAACTTATTCTGACTCTGATTCCTCACTCCGAATTCTACCCACTCCGATTCATACTCATTCCAATTTTATTTAATTACTTTATTATCTATTTTATTGTTTGTTAATAATTTCCTTTGAAAGATAAAAAAGTCAGTTTCTGTTAATTTAAGATAAATTAGTTAGATCCTATCATAAAAAGAATTTAAAATAGTGGTTCCGGAGAGAGACTCTCTCCCTTTATATATCCGGTCGGTGGTGTGGGGTGTCGAACATGGTAGAAGATCTCAGCCATTTGAAGTGAATTTAGGTCGAAGTTTTTGGAAGGTATTTTCATGAAAGGGAAAACCAGGGAAGCCATGGACGGAGGAGAAGAAGATGATCCGAAGCACTGTATTGTCTCTTTGCTTCCTTTGTGTAATTACGTGGGTTGACATCCTGTTTTTTCAGGTACGTATAGTTACTATTTTGGTACGTTTCGTTTCCCACGCTTTTTTTGTGGAGTTTTATTGGGCTCTTTGGGCCTCATTTTCCACAAGCCACTGATTCTAATGCCAAGCCCGGCCCAAGGACGTTTTGAACCACATGGGCGCACATAAATATAAAAATAAATAAATAATGGGAGAAAGAGGAAAATAGACCAAGACTTGAGATTAATTAAAATTAATAGGTCAATAATTTACATAAGTTAATAAATATGTCAAATTACTGTTTTTGTCCATAACTTGTCTGGTTATGAACCATAACTTGACAAGTTATTATCCATAACTAGACAAGTTTGTTCATAACTTATCTGGTTATGAACCATATCTTAATAAGTTATGGCCTATTAATTTCTATAACTAAAAATTGGCCTAAATTCTTTCTTAAACTTTTCATATTGGCCTATTTTCTACTATTTCCCATAAATTAAATGTTGTTAAGAAGAAACAAGAATCACCATATTGCTCAAAGAAAAAAATAATAATAATAATAATAAGAATCAGCATACCTTTAGAAAGAAAAAGAAAAATCTATCATAAAAATTTCAAAAACATTTTCGTAAAGGGAATGCCGCTGAATGAGTAATAACGGCGAAAGCGAAAGCGAAAGCAAAAGCAAAGAGATTCCTTAGAGAAGTTAAAATGCAAATCATAATTAGTTTGGACATATGCTTTGAAAAACTGAAAATGTAGAAGACCAAAAAAAAAAAAAAAAAGTAGAAAGTGCCACAAACGTATAATATTAATCCATATTCTATGCTCTATTATGCAAGTCTCTAGTCAACGTCGAATTACCAGAAATATGTTAACTTGCACTAGCCACATTATCCGTTATTAGGGACATTTACCACAAGCATGATATATTTGTCTATATATATCATCCTCTTTCTTTTCTTACTTTTCCATTTATTGATTGGTTTTTTTTTTTTTTCAATAAATTGTAAAATTTATCTTTAAGAATGTATGGGTCTGAATTTTTACCATTTTCTATTGATTAATATCTTTTGTTATTGTAATTATTTGACTAAAAAAATTATTAATCAATAATAAAGAATACAAATTTTGATCTAATTTTTAATCAAACGTGAAGAATAAAAATCTTAATCTATGCACTTTTAAAATATTTTTTTCCTTTTTTAATTACTCTAATTACACAGCGAATCAAAGTAGTAGTCTGATAAATATTAAAGTAGTGTGCTTTAGATTATTTACATAAATAAAGGGAATAAAGTTATTTTTAGAATAGTACGGGAAATAATTAGTGCATATTTTGCTAAGGGAATGCCCAATATAGATGTGGCCATTTGTAAATTTTTGGGATACTGCAATGATGACAATTGGCCAATATTTTTAGTTTTTTGAGAAAGAAATCTCAAGAGGAAGGCTACATAAATATAACCTACCATAAAACCAAATATTCAAATCCCATTGAAATCATAACCTATGTTTTTAACCTACCACAAAGTTGAAAACGTTTGCTTCTATAATAGGAAAAGATAAAATGGCTTGTTTAGTTCTTAATTCAAGTTGAGATGTGATTTTATGTGAGAATTTTTTACTGTAATAAAAGTTAAATATGACTGTTTTTAAGAATTTTTTACTCGAATAAATAAATAAATAAAAAAGATGAACAAAAGGAATGGTAAGTTTGCTTCTGACTGAAACAATGGATTTTGGGCACCAAAAAAGGGAAGAAGACTACATCTTCAAGCAACCAATCTCCAATGCCAATATTTAACCGTTCCTAAGAAAGAAAAACGCAAGGGACTGAGAGTTTGGAAGTTGAAGAGATCAGTTTTGAGACAAGAAGATAAAGGGGCTTTAATGGAGAATGTGGTCTTGGAAAATCTTTTCAGTGATGAGAGAGAGGCGCGGATTCGGGGTGCGAATGAACTCGCTAATCTCGGTAGTAAACAGCGGCACAAACTGGCCGAGAGAGGTATAATTGAACCTTTGATTTCTATGATTCATTCCCAAGATTGTGACGCCATTGAAGCTGCTCTCTTTGCTCTCCTCAGTCTTGCCTTTGGTAGTGAAAGGTTAGTTTATTCGTTTCTTCATATATCCCTACCGTTTAACTTTATTCGAAACCATGAATGTATTCATAAGAAACGTTTTCGACATACATCTTTTTGTCTTTCTGAAATATTTTAAATTGATCTGGTGTGAACTTTATCACCAAAGTTGATGTCGAAAACCATCGAGAAATGTACCATGAATTTGGACATACATCGGAGTTTGAGTCTTACTAAAGAGTCTCTCTGACTAATGAGTCTTACAAGCTGTCTTGGTGTTCTTTGAGAGCAAGAAAACAAAACAAAACAAACTATTTTTACCCTAATAGCCATGACTCAAAGTTGAAAACGTTTGCTTCTATAATAGGAAAAGATAAAATGGCTTGTTTAGTTCTTAATTCAAGTTGAGATGTGATTTTATGTGAGAATTTTTTATTGTAATAAAAGTTAAATATGACTGTTTTTAAAAATTTTTTACTCGAATAAATAAATAAATAAAAAAGATGAACAAAAGGAATGGTAAGTTTGCTTCTGACTGAAACAATGGATTTTGGGCACCAAAAAAGGGAAGAAGACTACATCTTCAAGCAACCAATCTCCAATGCCAATATTTAACCGTTCCTAAGAAAGAAAAACGCAAGGGACTGAGAGTTTGGAAGTTGAAGAGATCAGTTTTGAGACAAGAAGATAAAGGGGCTTTAATGGAGAATGTGGTCTTGGAAAATCTTTTCAGTGATGAGAGAGAGGCGCGGATTCGGGGTGCGAATGAACTCGCTAATCTCGGTAGTAAACAGCGGCACAAACTGGCCGAGAGAGGTATAATTGAACCTTTGATTTCTATGATTCATTCCCAAGATTGTGACGCCATTGAAGCTGCTCTCTTTGCTCTCCTCAGTCTTGCCTTTGGTAGTGAAAGGTTAGTTTATTCGTTTCTTCATATATCCCTACCGTTTAACTTTATTCGAAACCATGAATGTATTCATAAGAAACGTTTTCGACATACATCTTTTTGTCTTTCTGAAATATTTTAAATTGATCTGGTGTGAACTTTATCACCAAAGTTGATGTCGAAAACCATCGAGAAATGTACCATGAATTTGGACATACATCGCGTGTTTGAGTCTTACTAAAGAGTCTCTCTGACTAATGAGTCTCTCTGACTAATGAGTCTTACAAGCTGTCTTGGTGTTCTTTGAGAGCAAGAAAACAAAACAAAAAAAACTGTGTTAAAATTGGTTTTGAAAATAAAATAATAGAAAAAGCTTTTTCTTCCGTAGTATTCTTTTAGTTGGTGGGTCGTGGAATTTGGTCCTGCAATGATGTTCAATCAATGTGGTGGGGTTGGTCCTATAGTGTGACAGATGATTCTGTCTTTAAGAAAAGAGTTGTAAAAATACTTTTATCTTTTCTTGCATCGTACGGAAGCCCTTGAATAATATTTTTCTGAGTTTCTGCAATTGATCCGTTTCACTGATACAACAGGAGCAAGAGCCGGATTGTCAAGTGTGGGGCTATACCGGCATTGATAAATCTCCTTCAATGTCAAAACATTTCACTGATAGAACCGGCAGTAACAGCCTTGTTGATCCTGTCATCTTGCAACGCAAACAAGCTTCCAATTGCCTCATCTGGGGCCATTCAGATCTTGGTTGCATTTCTAAATGAGGACTATTCCAATGACGACAACGTTAACGACAATATTAGTATTGGCATGCAAACGAAGCTTGACGCCATAGCCACCCTCCACAACCTCTCAACAAGCCGCGAGATTGTCCCATTATTGGTTTCTTCCGGTTTAGTCTTTTCCTTGCTGCAACTCATTCATTGCTCAGAAAAATCGTCGGAGTATGTAGGCAAGGCAATTGCACTACTCGAAGACATTGTTTCCTTGTCAAAGGACGCGCTTCAGGAAACTGCTGGCGCACCAGGCGCGATTCAGGCGTTGGTTGAGTCGGTTGAAGACGGGTCACTGCAGTGTAGAGAGCATGCAGTGAGAATCTTGCTGTTTATATGCAAGAGCTGTAGAGAGAAATACAGAGGACTGATTCTGAGGGAAGGAGTAATGCCGGGTCTGCTTCAGTTGAGCGTGGACGGAACTTGGAAAGCTAAAAGTATGGCTGGGGAACTGTTGTTGCTTCTGAGAGAATGCTCTAGCTATGGTTCGAAAAATAAACAGTCGAAGCACAAGATGATAGAGCAGATTATGCAAGAAATTGATGCGGAAGAAGGGGAAGCTGTAGATACCACAACACTGAGGCTGGTGGAGAAGATGATTGCAAAGCTTAGTGCATGACACATAAATGATAGGCTTCCTAATAGCGAAAAATAGTTCTTTTTTTTTTTTTTTTGGTTTTTGTTTATAAAATTGGATTTCAGCTGACTTTTTATAATCTAGCCTCTTTGGAAGTCTGATTCTAGTTTTCTGATTGTATTTTTTGAGTTTAACATTACCAATTTATGCATTCAACGCCAGCAAGAAACATCATTATTGGAACAAAAGAGACCCGCAAATTATCTTTTTGTATCTCTTCTACGTAACAAAGAACACCAGAGAACATCATGAAGCTGAGAGAGAGAGAGAGAGAGAGAGAGAGAGAGAGAGAGAGAGAGAGATTATCCTACTCCCACCAAAAAAGCCCGACATATTTTTACTGCATGCATGCCAAGATTTCAACTTGGTTCGTTTAACAAAAGGACCATAAGATGAAGTAACACCTATTGCCAGTCTGCCAAAGCCACAATAAGCAAAGCAATCTACCAAAAACAAACCCTTTCACCCTTATCCAAATTCCAAGCAATAAATTTCAGTTTCGAGTCTTTGACAAACCAACAACAAGAACCGGGAATGAGTATCTGTGGACACGGATAGACTATAGTTATTCATCTCGGCTTGCTAATGTAACATATACCTATAGTTATTCATCTCGGCTTGCTAATGTAACATATACCTATAGTTATCCTTTAATAAAAGGTCGAGGTAAAATAATATGATTTTATTGATGTCCTAGCATCTCATCTCCCTACAAAAAACCAGGGTACACGGCTAGCGAGCAAACTGAAAGACATGTTTAGCGTGATCTTCTATAATAGCCACAAGCCACAGCCACCGTCGTCACTGCACCGAGCACGGCAGCAGCTGCCAGCACATCCCTTTGTTCCAGTGTTCCAATCCAGCTTGTAAGTTTGGACAGAGGCCCCTCTTCTTCTTCTAGCTTCTTTTCTTCACTGTTGTCACTCTTCTCAAGATTTCCATCTCTGCAACAAGTAATCCCACCATTAGCACCCTGGCAACAGCCTGCAAAGTTTTCCGTCTTATCTTGGATGCCGCTTTCTTGGGGCTTCTCGCTTTTCTTAACATCTTCTCCATTTGGAAGCTTCTGTTCAGTAGCTTTTTCAACTTCCTCAGCAGGCACTCCCATTTGACCCCTGTAATTTATTATAGTTAATTTCGGGTTTTGATAACATAGAGGATCTAATATTCACGTATTTAATTTTAAATAAAATAAAAAACCATCCACTGTGAAGTAAAATGTACAACAGTACAGGATTGATACCAAGTGAATTAAGAACACGCTGTAAACCTCTATTTGGAGATCCCATCTTCGTTAAATCAATTTCATAATCGCATCATAACAAATGTACCAAAAACAATTTTCTAGTTCAGCTGAACTTTTTGTTAGATTCCCCTCCAAAAAAAAAAAAAATCCTTTTTACTAGATAACATTCAAAATTTCAGACACTTTAAATCACTTACCTCCAAAGTCGTTCTATAATCTCGCCTTTTGCAATATGCTGATCAAGCAATGCAGGCACGTCATTAGGAGTGACATAGCCATACCTACAACCATAACAAAAACTGTTCTAATCCCACAAAAAACCAACGATAATCAAGTTAGCTACAAAATTGTAAAATATAAGACTTACCAATGACCCGCAATCTTCCCATCTGGACCTGGACTGTAGACAATCAAGTTACCAGCATATTTATGGCCTCCAATGTGAGAGCATGCGCTCACAAACACCTGATCACCAAGTCCCCGCAAATCAACCTGCTCGTTGAGCTTTGCAATAAGAACTGGTCCGCACACACCACATCTTTTGTCTCGGCTACCATGGGAGCAGACAAATACATAGGAACCCTTCAAAACCTCCTGAACTCCAGAAGCCCATGGCTTTTCATTCACAAGGACGTCCTCAACAAAGCTATCCACATCAGAATCTCTCAAACACCTTTAACAAAGAAACAAAAAGACCCTCAGACTCAGATAAGAGATTATGATTAAAGAAAAGGAAAAACCTAATCAACTAACTCAAGGTATTTACTAGTACTCTATATTGTTCCCTCTACGAAAAAAAGAAAACAAAGAGAGCGGGAAAATCAGTCTACATTAATATGTAGAACGACGCTTTCAGAAATTTCACTCAGACCTTGATTCATTCGAGTAAAATGACAAAATCAAAACATTGGAACTTTTGACAAAGAAAACTAAGACCTTATGTAATAACATACCTAAATATAATCATTACTGCGAAAATTAGTTCAAAGTGCACAAAAGAGCTTTCAAGTTAGAGAAAGCCAACACGCCAAAGACAATCAAAGTAATCAAATCTGGAAAGTAATACACAAACTAGACCTTAATCCGAGTATTCTAACTATCAGAGCAATGGTAAATACAATTTCATATAGTTAACGTCAATTCAAGTTCCGCTAACAAAACCAGCACAACCGCGACAAAATAAATTCAAAAAACCACCGCGATCGTACCTGTATTTGATCATTTCAGGGAAAATCAGCACATCTCCGTCCGCAAAATCGGCCTCATCGCGTCCCTCGCAGATCGTCAGCTTCGTCTGCCAATTGAAACAAGTAAAATACTCACAAATCCAAAACACAGAGAAATCTAATAATAACAACAAACGAGGAAATCTAATAAACACAACAAACGAGGAATTTTCTCCAAATCGAAAACTCGGAGTTCCGCGCCGACCTTGACGGCGATATTATCCTTGCGAGCTCTGAAAGCGGCGGCGAGGAGCTTGGGGAGCGGATCGGACTCGGGACCCTCGACGCGCGGGACCCAGGCCTCGGGGCCCTTGTGGCAAAGAAACACGTGGCGGCCGTAGGCCTCCATGGTGCCGGCTAGGCTGCTCTCGTACATCTCCTTTCGCCGGAAGCCGTATTTCTCGTCCTCTTCGGACTGAATCGGGACATCGACGGAGTCCATGGAGGCGGTGGAGGTTCTCCGGCGTACGGACGAAATTGATTGAGAAAGGATGAGAGCTTTGGAGAGGTTTGAAATGGGAGGAAGAGGAGGAGAAGAACGGAGGAAGAAATGGTTGGTCGCAGCTGATATCAGAGACCGGTAAGGGTGCGCAATGCGCATTTGGAGGAGTGTTTTGGACTTTCAATGGTTTGTTTTTTATTTATTTATTTATTATTATTTGTTTGGAGCGTGACGTACAGGTGGTTGTTGGGATTGATTGACTGAAGCACGAGCCGCGCGTGGTACGACTTGCGATGAAGTGTTAATCTGCTTGCTGGTCTAGGGGAGAGTTTTTATGAACTCCGTTGACCACACGAGTCAAATTGGCGAGATGGATATGAATTAGAATAATCCGACGGTCACCAATTGACGTGGAGTTTTTTTTTTTAAACTAAAATTACGAGCAGAGATTATTGTATTTAAGGTTTTTGATATAATTGCCTTTTGAACTCGTTCGTAGTTTAGTAAATTATCCTTTAAATATTTAATTTTAACAAGTTGTCATTTGAATTTATAAATTGTTGTAATGTGTCCCATTTAATTGAATATGTTTAGTTCGCTGATTCTAATTGATATGTGACTTTATATTATAGCTTTTTATTGTAATAAAAAAGTTAGATGTGATCGTTTCTAAGAACTTTTTATTGTAGCAAAATTATTAGTGAAATGAACGGGGCCTAAATTTGCTCAAGTTTTTTTTATCAGATTTAAGGGATTAAAAGTTAAAAGATTTATGTTATATTTGAATTGGAATGTTGAAATTTTTAACTGAATATATATATTTTTTACACTAATTTAATACAATTGTCGTCAAAATGGGACATATTGTAATAAATTTATAAATTCTTTATGCAACTTTGATTCACCATCGATATTGTCATATACGGGGTTGTCTTATTTTTTGACATTTCATTTTTAGATGTCCAATTACCATAACGTTTTTGAAATATATAATTTTAGCTTTTTCTTTAAGAGACTTTCTCTGATTTTTTTTTTTTTTTTTTTTTTTAACACCGGTGTATGTTTTGCAAATGTCAGTCTAAACCACTAAACTAAAAGTGAATTTCAAAGGTCCAGATGAGACAATTGCATCATATTTTTGTAGACTATTGGTAAAATAAAAAATAAAATAAAAAACTCTGGATTTGATCTTGAAATTTAAAATTAAAGGGCAAAAGGTTTATTATTAAAGAAAATGAGATATATACTTTTTAAAATGTATCGGTCTTACTCTTAGATTTTTACCCCTTGTATTTGATTAATACTTTTTAGTTAAAGAAGTAATTAGTTAAAAGAGTATTAATTAAGAATAAAAAGTATTGTTGTTGTTGTTGTTATAATAATAATAATAATTATTATTATTATTATTGTTATTATTATTATAATAATAATAATAATTATTATAATTGTTATTATTATAATTGTTATTATTATTATTATTATTAGTATTATTATTATTATTATTATTATTAGCATTATTATTATTATTATTATTATTATTATTATTATTATTATCAAACTTAACTACCAAGTGATTTCTTGACACGAGTAATCTTTTAGAGATTGAATTAAATGTTTTTTTTTTCCGTCTATTTGAACTCCTATTTGTGGAGTATCAACTACATTTAGAAAAGAATTCAAATCCGTAATTTAAGATTAAATTAACATCTTTTTGAGGAAAACTTTGAAGTAACAGGTTTACCAATTTAACTAATTGGTTTTCAACACGTTACACATCAATTGCTTGTTGCGTTAGAGATCACGGAATTACTCTAGTCCTCAATGTAACTTTGAATTCCAATTTGATGGCTATTCTCACATTCTAGATTGGAGCTAAAAAAAACTTTTTTGTACGGGAAGGTGTGGGGTTACCAAGGAAGGCCCGTTTGACGAAAACGACATTAGTAATTTAACTAGTGCGACGAGCATTTCCTACAAGTAACCTATGCCAATAAAGACTAAGGTTATATATATATATATATATATGTTTGCTGAGGTGGTGATTTTCCATTGGGCAGTCAGATTCGTTAGCAAAACAAAGCAGTTACTCAGTTTCTATTAGTTGAATTGAATCATTGATTTCAAGTCGCATGCCAGTTATTGAGGATATTTGTATCATGCATTAGGTAATGAAGTCACGAAACATGCTGAATTATATCTATCTAAATCCTATCAAATATTCAACTCCTTTTTTTTTTTCTTTTTTTCTTTTTTTTCTTTTTTTTCTTTTTTTTCTTTTTTGGGAAGTTCTTGAATCCGGATGATCTTTTTTCTTACAAGTGAACATGGTACTCGTCGTTTTATGTATATATATATAAAGAAACTCCATGCACAAAAAACTGCCTTGAAAATCTGGGGTTCTTTTCTTATGCAAAATCAGCAATGACTTGTGGCTAATTTTTAAATTAACATGATCAGGTTCAAGTGTTTTATCATCAGTTAAAGTGTAGACACAACGTGCGTGTTTGTTTCTGTTTTCAAAAACGTTTTTCACGTTTTTCGAGGAAAAAAAATAAAAACGGTGTGAAGATCATGTTTGGGGGCAGCAACGTACAGAAATAAAAAATGAAAACATTTTTGTCTTTCTCTCAAAATCTGAGCATTTCTGAAAACAAACTTGGATTGTTTTCCTTTTCTCCATTTTCATTTTCTCTGGGTTATTTTTCTTTCCTTCACTCTTCTTTCCTCCCTTCTCTTCTCTTCCATTTTCTCCATTTTGATTTGCTAACAACATTACACAAACAGAAGATATGCGAGTGGGTGCCATCTTCGTGCAGCCACCGTCGGAGGCGAGGGGAGGATTCCAAGCGAAAGAGATACGAGTGGGCGTCGTCTTCGTGCAGCTACCGTCAGTGGCGAGGGGAGGACTGCAAACGGAGGAGCCAAACTCATCGAGATCCTTGCGGTAGGCGGGAGCATCGTCGTTTTGGGGTTCATCGGAGTCGGAGGGCTCCAAGGATTCGTCAGTGAAGACGACTTGAAGAAATCTAAGTCTCCCCACCGCCCCCTAACTATTCTCTGAAACCCATTTCCTGTTAGTTTTCATGTATATAATGTTTATTTAATATATTTAATATTATTATTTATTTAATATATTATTATCTTAAATATTATTACATGTTTTTAAAAATTAAACTACCAAACACAATTTCAGTTTTTTTAAACTGAAAACAATCTCGGAATAAAACTACCAAACACATTTTCAGAAATGATAAAAGTATTAATATACCCTTTAAATCAATTTGATATTTTCAATTTAAAAAATATATTGTGTACTTATTATATTAAAATTAATCATAATTAAAATATTTAGTGTAATAATTGGGTACTAAAATAATAAATATAAATTGTACAACTATTTAAAATATAAAAATAAATTTTAAAAAATTTAAATAAAATAAATAAAAATAAAAAATAGTGTTAAAAAATAAAATATATTATTAATTTATTAAAAAATAAAGTACATATTTATTATATTAAAGTTAACAATAATTATGCTAATATTATAATATTAGACAAACAAAATAATAAATATATGTTGCATTTATTATTTTTTGAATTTTATTTTTAATTGTGTATTTATAAGTAAAATAAAAGTATAATAGTAAATTGATATTAATATTAGGAATGAGAGTCTCAATCCTAAGGGGGGGCATGAGAATACCAATCTCATTCCTCAATCCCAAATTTGAGTGGGACCCACCAATCTCACTCTCATTTCAGGATAAAAAAGAGCAAATAAACATGTGATTGACTCTCATTCTTCAATTATGATAAGTAAACATGCCATTAATGCCATGGAAAACAAAGGAAAGCCCACGTACCCTATTGTCTTCAAGTTCTTTTGTACCCGTTTATCAACTTACTTATAGAAGCACTTGTTAAGAAAGAAAAACACTTTCCATTTTGAAGTATACAAAAATTATTTCAAGTAATATGGAAAAACTGATATTGATTTGTTGTTTTTATTTCTTGAATATGCATTCACTTTCTCAAGGTAGTTTTGCTATTTCTTGCAAGCAACATATGTTTTTATTGGACTTGGCGAACTTCGTTGGAGAAAATTTTGCCGTACAATATATTTTTCGCTAAGAACCTTATGATTAGACTGTGGGGCTCAAATGACGTCCTTAAATTCAATAATAAATCAAAAAAGTGGGGAAAAAAAAGTAAAGAGTAAAGACTTACGATATTATGAAATTGTTCTTTTACGATGAAATTTAAAAAAAATTTAAATTTAAGTTATAATTTTATTTAAATTTAAATTTTTTTATAAAATTTAAATTTAAACTCGAGTTTGGAATTAAAATTGAGTTCAAGTTTCTCCTTTAATTTGAGTTCATAAACTCGAATTCAAGTTAATGAATAATATTTTTTCTATTTTTAAAAATACCATAATTTTTTCGTTTTAATTCTGATTGAGATGATTTTTTTTATGCATTCACAATGAAAAGACAAATAAAACCCCACTCATATACCCTATTAAAATTTTTCATCACCATTGAGTTTTTATTAAAATACTATCTAAATATAAATTTAAGTTTTGATCAATCCAAACACAAACTCAAAAAGATTCTCAATTCAAATCATAACTCAAATGTGAACATCCAAACACAAACTCAAAACTTCAACTCAAGTTATAACTCAAACTCAACTCAAAATCATCACTCAAATCACCATAACTCAAAAATGCAAAAGAACAACCCGAATAACTTGAACAAAAGAACCACGGGCTTGTTCGGTTGTATTTTTGAGTTATAGTGATTTGAGTGTAGATCTTGAGTTGAATTTGAGTTATAATTTGAGTTGAAATTGTAACTTGAGTTTGTATTTAGATGTGCACATTTGAGTTATGATTTGAATTGAGAATCTTTTTGAGTTTGTGTTTGGATTGATCAAAACTTAAATTTATATTTAGATAGTATTTTAATAAAAACTCAATGGTGATGAAAAATTTTAATAGGGTATATGAGTGAAGTTTTATTCGTCTCTTCATTGTGAACGCGTAAAAAAAATCATCTCAATCGGAATAACAAAAAGTTATGACATTTTTAAGAATAGAAAAAATATTGTTCACTAACTTGAGTTTGAGTTTAAGAACTTAAGTTGAATAGAAAACTTGAATTCAAATTTTAGCCTCAAACTCAAATTAAAACTTAAATTAAAACTCAAATTTTATAAACGAACATGAACTTAAAAAAATTTATAACTTAAGTTTAAACTTTTTTTGAGTTTTATTTTAAAAGAACAAAACCCTCGTGTTTGAAGATGGCCAAATTAACAAATTGCATGGCCAAATTAATAATTTTCACATATGTCCTAGTCCTAGTCATAGTCCTAGTCCTAGTCTTAGTCCTTGTGTCACTTGAAAGGTCTCCTAACTCATCAAAGCCCAAGTATCCATTGAATTTGAATCAATCAGACCCCATGGTTTTTAGTGACTTTCTGTCTGATGCCACAAACACAAGATTATCATTGGCAACATGCTATTCAGAGAGACGAAATGGTTAAAGCTCATCTGGTATTTATTTTAAAAGGTCCTACCCCAAGGAGGCGGTCAGTAGAAGTAAGGCGCTTGCTCGACTTTAAGGCCATCTCTTATTAAGGAACAATATGGTCTACGGTTCGAGCCACATTTCGTCGTTTGGTGGCTAACTGAATGTGTGTAATTAGAAAGTGACATGCCATCTTGATCTCACTATTGATTCATCAAAACTGAGGTCCCCAATATTTTTGTTCCTACTAATGAAACTACTTGAACTTCCAAACGAATGATGAATTAGTGGGAGGGAGCAATTAGAGTTGGAAAAGAAAGATGAACAAATTAATTCCTCATTTTAGATGCATCTGCATTCCCGCAATGCTGCTATGGTGCTCAGTCTGAATTTTGAAAGAAGGGTGTTTAACATTTGCAAATCAAAGGAATTACAGCTTTGTTATCCATTTGCAATGGAAAGAACCATTGAAACACAAAACAAAAAGATAAGAATCAAAAGAAATCAATCTCTACATAATTACCAGAAGTCTTCACATCAACACCCTGAGCTTTTCCGTTTGTGGGAGCTTTTGGCGAGTTAGTTCTTGGAATATCCATCACGTATTGTTTAGGCACATCTGGCGGATTTGTACATCGGATTAAAGCCCAATTCACACTTTGGAAGAAGGGATGTTGTTTGATTTCGGTAGCTCCACGCCTATAAGCGAGGCGATGTTGTGGCTCTTTCACAAGTAATCCTCGGATCAAGTCTCTTGCAGCAAAGCTCACAGAAGGTGACTCTGGAAATCTCAAGGGCTGGCCAACCACGTTGAACAGCGTAGCGCGGTTCCCTGCCCCTTTGAACGGGGTTTTACCGAACAAAAGCTCGTAGAGGAAGATCCCAAATGTCCACCAATCCACAGCACTGCCATGGCCTTCGCCTTTAATGATTTCGGGAGCCAAGTATTCGTGTGTCCCGACAAAGGACATTGATCGAGCACTCGTTGGTTCGGCAATGAGTTCGGGGAGAGGGCTCACTTGGTGATGTACTTCGGTCTTAGGTTTGGCCTTTTTGTCCTTCTTGGGCTTGCGTGATAAGAAGCGTGGAGCAAAGCATGCAGGTTGGATGCAATCTGGCTGCATCACACAGGTTGGCTCGATACACGCAGGCTGAACACAGTATCCTGAATTCTTTGACTCCAAGCTTGAGTTTGAGGATTTTACTAGAGTAGGTGATACAGCACACCTTAGAGAGAGGTCGAAATCCGAAAGCATAATATGCCCATCTTCCCGAACTAAAACGTTTTCTGGTTTAAGGTCTCTGTAAATGATTCCAAGCATGTGCAAATACTCCAAAGCAAGGAGAACTTCAGCCACATAAAACCTGCAAAACGACGGCACTGATAAATTTACTAGATTTTAAAGAAAGTGAGAAGAGATCCATATCCGGATCATAACTTCTAAAAGAAAAAATTCCTCGGCAAGGATTGAATTTACATGTTCACTGGTAAGCAATTAGTTCTTATAGCTAGGAACTGCATTAACAATTCTAACATAATTGTAAATCACATTACACTCGACAGGTTACATAAGTTCTAGTTTAATTATTAGTCATCAGAAAGAAGAGAGAAGTGAAAAAAAGACAGGAACCTGGCAGCATGCTCCGAAAAGTACTTCCCCGGTTGTCGTTGCCTGAGTGCATGCAGATCCCCACCAGGGCAGAACTCCATCACCAAGCAAGAGAATTTCTCTGTCTCAAAGTGCGTATACAATGTGGGCAGGAATGGATGATCAAGAGATTGCAGAATCTCTCTTTCCGTCTGAGCCCTCGGAAGCTTCTTCCGACTCGCCAGAGCTGCTTTGTCCATAACCTTCATGGCAAAAAAGGTTCTAGTCCCACTCAGCTCAGATAAATAAACACTACCTATATCTCCACATCCAAGTTTTCTCAACAGCTTGAAGTGATTCAAACCCAGCGTCCCATAACGGGATCGGATGGCTTGAATCGCCTCCCATCTTATATCATTCGCCATATGCGGTTTGTACATGGCATTGCTCAAACAACTGGAGCTGCTGTCATCACTCACATCACTGCCAGTACTTCCTCTACAGATGCTGGTCTTCCGACTCTGGTTGAACTCACACGAATTGTTTACTTCGCAGCTCTCACCGGATTTCTCAGCACTGCTTGTACATTCACTGACTTCTGTGTTGGTGAAACTTTGTTTTGCTTCTGAATAAACAGTGGCGGAATATAGACTGTTTTGAGGACTTGGAAATGAAGTCACCGCGGCTGATTGAGACGTCAAGTGACAATTTTGTTGCTCAACGCTTGCTTTACATGGATTTGAACCAAAAGCTTCAGATTCCACCATACCACTTGGATCACAATTTTTGGGATCACCAACAAGATTCTTTGCGCAAGATTTCGCTTCCACAATCGAAACATTCTTCTGACACAAAGTTGCTGCTGATTTATCAACAGCATTATCCGCAGCCTCATATTCAGATCTCCGTTTACTTGAATCATAGTAGTGTTTTGCCATTTTGAGTGACTCTTCATGGTTCCTATTATCCTCCACGGCTTTGAAGGAACTCTTTTGGATAATAACAGAACCATTTGCGTGGTAAATCGGTTTTGCGCCAAACGTTTGCACCGTCGAATAGTACATGGACGAAGCCCCTCCATCTCTCGATTGGCTGGGAGATGAAGTCCGAGAAGGGTGACGAGTCCCGCTTGTGGAAGGGGGATTGTTGCATACCGAAGACACCGAATTCTGGGTCATCGACAACGAATGAACTCCATCAACAACAACTGATTCCATGGAGCAATTCTCACAAGGGCAAGATCACAGCAAATTTCCAACTAAGCAAAGTGATTGCAAGGACACAGATGTTGAAGGTGAAAGGGACATAGTAAAGCCATCAATTTACACAATCTTCAACTTTAAATGCCTACCTAAAAATTTGAAAGAAAAAAAAAATAAAAGAAAGAAAGAAGAAGAAGAAGAAGAAGAATTAACAAGGCATTAGAAACTTGTCCTAAACAACTAGGCTGGTTGCAATAAAGACATTAATTGGATGAACCCAAATTGAAATTCCAACAGAATCTGCAGAGACCCATTACGGATATAATCACCGGGAATCCATTCAATTAAAACCCCCAAAAGATTATGGAGAAAAAAAAAAGATACGTATAGAGATAAAGCCTTTAATCACAATCCAATGAATTTCAAAAAGTCTTGACAAACGAAACCAAAGCATTGCAGAAACTGAATATTTCAACAAACAAATACTAGCCCACAAAGTAAATTGTGTTGCTTCGCCAATTTAATTTCCATTTTGGCCGCCGATAAAGTGTGGGACAACGGAATAAAGAAACAAGATTTTGTTTTTTAAACGTTACATATCTCGTTGTTTGGAAGCCAAGAAACGGAAAACTTCCACGCATTTGGAGCCTCATACAAGCAACATGATTCCCAAAAAGTCTCGCTTTTGATTCTTTCTCAGCAACTATAAGCAACAAAATAACAAAAGAAAGAATAAGGGGGTAAAAAAAAAAGTACCTGCAGAACAATGCAGAGAAAGAAGCAATCTTTGATGAGAAACTGAGAAAGAAAGTTGTCACAGAGAAAGTGAAATGACTTTGGAGAAGGGTGAGTTCGTGAAATATGTGTTGTCTTTTGGTGCCACTGAGGAGCTTCAGATCCGATCGAAACAAGAAAAGCAAAGAGAAAGAAAAAATAATTAAATGTTTTTTTATTTATTTATTTTTGTTGGGTAGAGGAGGAAAAAAGAGTTTTGGTTCTGTTAAATTTTCATCGAGTCATGGGAATGAAAGAATGAATGAATGGGATTAATAAGATAAGAGGAAACAAAGCAAAGACAAAGCTCAAAAGCCAAGCAAAGCAAAAGCTTTTTTTGAAAAAAAAAAAAAAATGCCGTCGTTATTATCTTTGGATGTTGGAAATAATCCCTAAGAAAGCCACTTATTCTGGTTTCTTGTTCTTCTTTTTGTAAATAATAATTCTTTATTATTATTATCATTAACAAAAAAAAAAAAAAAACAACTTTTCTTTTGTTGCCGGCTGCAGAACCTATGGACTACATAGAGAATGTTATGGGCACCCCCATTTTATGATTCATGGGCCACCACCCCCCCTATCTACTTCCTCCAAACTTTTTTCTATTATCACTTTGTAATAAAAAAAATGACAATTATTATTACAAAAAAGAAAACAAAACTATTCATTGTTGTCATAATTGGCCGTGTTTAGAATTGATTCTGTTTTTATTTTTATGTTTTTTAGAAAGAAAAAATAAAAACGTTTCTAAAATAGTGTTTGGCGCAATAAAAACAAAAAACGGAAATGAAAACGATTTTTTAGTTTAGTGTAAAATGAAAGAGAAATGAAAAATAACTTTTAGTTGTTTTTTATTTTTTATTTTTATTTTCTCCTCTCTCGAATAGAGAGAGAGAAAGAGACATTAATAATTTTTTTTACACTGAAAATAATCTCTTGATAAAATTATCAAATATATTTTTAAAAATAATTTCTGTTTGAGATTGAAAATATTTTTATTTTTATTTTTATATAATAAATAAAATTATTTTAAAACGAATTCTAGACGTGCTTGTTCTTTTTCTACTACTTTTAGACACATGACTTTTTAAGAGGGAAAAAAGGACAAAATTGTATAGGGTCAAACCGGGTACTATAATACTATTTGCACTTTGCAAAATTTTGAAGGGTAAGCTACTTATGGTTTTTTCCGCAGAAAACTTTAATTGGGTTGCATTGCCAACTATTGAAAAAATTATCCATTATTCAGTTGAGGCTTGAAACTGGATATAATTAGACATTTGGTCGTTGGTATTAAGAGCAAGGAAAATAAATAAATAAATAAATTAGATTCCATAAAATTGAGGAAATTTTTGTTTGTGATCTTAGCTTGGATCGGCTGCTGACCGATTGATGGAAATTGGACAAGCCCGTCAACCTGGCTTCCTATGTTTTATTGGCCAAAACGTACAAAAATTCCGGAAAGGTGATATGCACTTCTATATATTTGCTTCTAATATTTAATTTCATAATCTTCTAGTATTGTTTTGTATCGTTCTAATATTCACATATATATATATATATTCATATCTTTCTAATATTTAATTTGCTAAATTTTATTGGTAATACTAAAATTAATAATAATCACATGGGATTTAAAGTAACCGCACCAATTTCATTAACTTCTTTCGCGGGCACACAAGGAGGTGTCACAGTCACATGCGCGCACGTGAACGTCGCGACGAGCACGTGGACGGCTGTCGTCCCCGGCGCATGATACTATTTTACGCCTTCCTTGAGATTACTGTAATACCAGTATGTCATATGAATATCGATTATCGAGATAACAACGACGGGGATATAATCGTCTTTTCGAGTAGCGTGCGTGGGTGTCTATATCAACCCCAGCTAAGTTACGAGCCCCTCGGACATGTGGGCCTGGCAAACCACGCTAGTGGGTCCCGCCACCAGCACTTGGGGCCTCGATTGGGTCCCACGTGGGCTCCGATGTGTCGAGTGTAGAGCATCTACGGTTGTTGGAGTAAGTCCCCCGGGTGATGGTGACCACGTACATGCTTTCCTACGGAAAGGAGCCTGGGTCCCTCCGTACACGACTTTGACTTCAAAACTTAGTCCAATCTGACGGCAAGAAAGATCGTACTGTTTAGGTTCTCCGATTTGGGCGTCGTACGGGAGGATTGATTGGACAAAGAGGGAGAAATTCGAGGTGGGTCCCAGGAAGATGACTGTGGGGTCCTATAATTCATCAGTTCATGACACGTTTAATGATTACGTGGAATACAGGTCTCCTTCCTCATCTGGTGGGAGCAGTGTCCCCAGTAGACTAAACATGATTTTAGGAAATCATAATCAATCTAATCCCAAAGCTGCAACTTCATCCAGCTATTCTATCATTTACACCTGTAATGTTATAAAAAAGCACTGATATTTATAAAATTATATATTTATGTTTTCCATGGGTTAGATCTATTCCAATCAAGTGTTGAAAATTATCTCCTAGGAAGCAAAAAACACATTAGAAAATCTCCTGTTCCCAATGAAGAGCCGGAAGTTTAAAACATATGACTCCCGGACTTATTGATCATTCTCATTTTATTCTCTAAACTAAAAAAGTTCTCACTTTTATCTCTTAAATTTTGAATTAATCCAACTTAACGCCTTTTATCCGAATTTCTGTTAAAAACATATAAAAAAAATAAAAAAAATTAGTTTCACTTAAATCTTTTCTGTTAGAATTTATGTTGAAAATAAACGGAAAAAGATTGCATAGCCTCACTTAACTCTCTATTTTTTTTTCATATTTTGTTAACAGAAATTCCAATTTAAGCGGGTTAATTAAGTGGGTCTAATTCAAAATTTATGAGACAAAATAAAAAAAATTCTTAAAGTTTAAGGATAAAATAAAAATGACTCTAAAATTAGAAGGTACATGTGAGATTAATCCAACACTGAACAATTTACCCTTTTAAGTGGCATAAATATTTGGAATGTGATGCTGACCATAAACTAATCTCCTATTACTGTAATACTAATAATATTGTGCTTGCTAAAGGTTTGAACACTATATATATAGAGAGAGATCGATACAACAAACTGAAGGTGTTGTGTTATTATATACACACACACACACACACACACACATATACATATATTCTCGTTTTGCCCCAAGTCTCTTTTAATCATCGGATTAACTTTTATTTTTAAATGGTTAGTTATAACATGAGGAAACCCAGACCGTAAGGCAATTACATATATTCATATATGCATATATATTCCATCTACCTCCTAATTAATGATAGAGAACTCATGACTTAATTCTTCTAGTTGCATGATCTATAGGCATTATTCCGATACCAAAACCCCATTCCTTTCTTTAACTAAGGTTGGTGTTCTATAATAGTAGGTCGGACTTAAAATCTTAAAAGATGGGCACCCTCCGAAAGGTAACGTCTTTTTGGCCCAAAGATGAGGCAACAAAGAGGTAGGTTTGGGTTAAGTCGGGGTGGTTTGGTAGGGCGCAAATGTAATTTCACGTAACAATTGTGAGGAGGTTATACATTAATCATTCATGATCAAGGGGGTAGGAATGGCAATTTCATTAGTTAGGACCCATTTAAAAAGGTCCATCAATATCCCATTCTATTCCCCCAACCACTTACATGCACACACAAAGCAGAGTTTGGTACATTATTGACCTTGGTTTACTAGCTATTCCAATTAAAAGCAGTGGAATTAAAACCAGTTTAGAAACAATTCTCTATCTGCATACAATAATACAGGCCCTTGATCACATTTCATTTCATTCTTTTTTTTCTCTCTGTACATGGACATAATAGTGCATATCATGATAAAGATACTACAAATGATTGGAAAATGACCAAAATAAAATGCATCATATTCTGAGATTGTACTGAACTTACTCAAAAGTAGTCAAAAGCAGATGTCAAGATTGTTGTAATAAATTTTCAAGATATAAATTTAAGATATGTCTCCCAGTGGACAAGACGTCAAGTCTCTTCTCGCTAGGTTCATACCTGCCTTTCCGCAGCTGGTATCGGTGAGTTACAGCCGAGATTGTGTAAGCTTGGCCTTCTATTGTAACACTCTCCCCACATTGCAAGTTCTGCAGACAAAGCAAAAGGTGCAATAAGAACAGATACAACACAACACAAAACACATGTAGCAGAGATATCATGTTTATCTGTTTCCAATTTCACTACTCATGTTGGGCCCACCAATCCCCCCATGAATGAACCAACAAAATAACATTGACAACACTGACAGATAATTGAGAATGATAAGCGTTTGGAGTTACACGAAACTTTATGGAAAGTTCCATTCCTTTATATATATATAATTATTTTGGAATTTTGATAAAATCAATCAGATAAAAAGCATCAAATCAAAATAAGGAAATAAGTTGGAGCCAGGAATTATGAGATATAATATGATTTCATTTTCAGGACCTTCAATTCAATACGAAGTAACCAATGTTCTAAGCACTTTTCAGATGAAATATATGAACTTGAACCTATATTTTTAGGCTGAATTGAGTCTGAATTAGGTGTCTCTTTTACAATCTCGACATGAAAACTTTCTAATTTCCAGAAACAACCAAAGACCTTAATGCCCATATAATTGATAAGCCTCAGGATCACCCCTTACCACAAAGACATGAAAAGCCAACGGGAGAAAGTTTCATGCTAAAGTGTAGCAATTATTTAGAGGTGTCTATTACCACACCATAGAATAAAAAAAGAAATCCAAAATTCCTTGCACCACAAAATCCTTGAGCATGATTTTTGCCCCTTTTCTTTTTTTTTCTTTTTTTTTTTCCTCATACAGAAAAAGATTGATTGAATTTTCCAACTTTATTGCATATGCCAATCTACGTCTGCATGCCATGATCATAAAGCAGGTGGTTGCTAATTCTCAACATTTTTGTGTTTGTTTTATTTATTACACAAAAAAAAAAAGAAAAAAAGAAAACATTTTGTGTTTGGTTGTCCCATGTATAAGCTGTAAACAGCTCAACCAATTACATGCTTACATAACACCATTCCGATACAAGATGTATTCATATTAATCATTTCATTTGAAGTCATTACAAAGAATAAAAGTCCACCAAAAAAAAAGAAAAAAACCACAAAAATGCTTAAACTAAAAAACTAACAGTCATTGGCAGAGAAACGAGTATATAGAGTTGCAAATCAAATCGAACCAAATTCTTTTCCCTTAATTCATTACAGAAGAACCCAAAAACAAAAAGAAAATCGAAGAGGAAAATAAGGGTTTTGGATTATGGGACTTACGGGAGGAAAGCAACGAACGCCGAGGTTTTTGGGCGGAGGAGTAATTTCGATGACTTTATAGGGGTGAACATTGTCTCTGTTTCTCTCCTTCTTTCTGCAAATAACTTGGAATCCCTTCGTCTGCAACAAAAATGGCGTTCAATAAATCTGGAGATAAGGACGTTGAAAAAAAAGAGCATAAAAAAGCAATGAATTTTTGCAGAAATTTATGCAAAATTTAAGGTGTGTCCATAAAAGAAGGTATTTTGGTGAATCTGATACCGTTGGGTATGAACCTAAACCCAGATTCCAAGACGCCATTGTCGTTCCCTCTCTTTCTTTCTCGTCTGTCTCAGTCTAATCTCTCTGTGGTTGAGAGTTCAGATCGTTTTGTCGTGAGAAAATTGATTGCCAGAAAAAATTTTACGGTTATTTATTTATTTTTTATTTATTTTGTTCAGTTGAATGGGACTTACTTGAAGGAAGGAAAAAATAAGGGGGAAAGTGTCTTCAAAAATATCTTTTTTTTTTTCCTTTTTGTTTGACAATAATTGAATGGCCTCCTTCACTTTATTAAATTTAGAATTTAAATTTTGTTATAATAAAAAATTCTCAAAAATAATTACATTTAATTTTTTAATTATATTAAATCTTTTCACATAAAATCACATCTTAACTCGAATTAAAAACTCAAATTAATAAATTAAATAGATCTTGAAATTAACAGTTTGATTTACGATACAAAAAGATTTGAGTAACGACACAAGAACCACCGTACACCGATTTATTAGTCCTGTTTCACTTTTTTTTTTCCTTTGAGAAAATAACCTCTTTCACTTAGCATCTTGATTGTCATAGTTTGCAATTGGGACTGAAATTACGACTTGGATTTATGTTGGTTGCTAAAATCATGAGTTAAATTTATTCCACAAATACAGTGCCAAATGGTGTTGAGGCGAGAGTCTGAAAAAAACACCACCAATTCTCTTTTTTTTTTTATTAATAAAAAAAGAACCACCGTCCTCTTACCACAAAAAAACTAACGACTTATTTGATAATACAGAAAAGTAAAAAGGAAAAATAAGGATGGAAAGATCAGAAAATAATTGTTTGATAAGAGAACCGCGCACAATATGTAGATCATGTGATTCTGGGATTTAGTAGGTATCAACATTGTGATGAGATCTGACTGATCATGTTGTCCTACGACTTGGTGATTGAATAACTTTCTTCTATTTTTTTTTTTAATGGAATTCTTGTGAGAACTCGCCAATTTTCAACCGATCAATTCCTAACGCTGCAACGCCAAACAAATCCTGCGGGATGTAACCCTCGCATCAATCTACATGCTGTTGATGCCCTTAGGATTTATTATTATTATTTTGTAATGCTTTTGTATATTTTCCATATTATTCTAGTAAAAATGAAACTTTTGTTGTTTTTTCATTATTTTTTAAACTACTTTGGTGAGAAAATTCAGCAATGACACGTTAAGTGAAGGCTGGTTGCCCTAATTTTAATATTATCATGCACTACTAAATATCACGATAAGATACCGGTGATTTATGTCCCGTGACTATGATATATCACGTAATAGATTGATAATAGGATACCGGTACCTTCGGATATCTTAGTATGATACCATAAAGAATGTTTGGTATTTTAAATGTGTTGGAGTTGTATTTTATGCAAGAACTTTGTTTGTTCACGGCAAAAATCAATCAAAGGTTTGCTTTTGTGACATTTCTCTATAAAGCCCTTCTTTGGTATGAAGCATTAAAGAAGGAACTGAAAAAACCTTTACCTATAAAAGAGAACCCATACCAAACACAATAAAAGGAAAATAATTTGTTCTTATTTATTTTCCTTCTAGAGTACAAGACAGGTTTTAAGTCAATTTTCTTCCAAGCACCAACTCACGTAACACTACTTTTTGACCAAGTAATAGAAGATAAGTATCAAATGAACCTACTTAACTAAAAATAAAACCAATCTTGATTACTTGCGACTTTTTAGGCTAACATTTACGACCTACTTAAAATGTAAGATTATCATTTAGATTGAATTTTTTTCAAAAACACAGTAAAATTGTAGGAATGTTTAGGAACTCTCATCTCTCGAGTAAAATTCTATGTTGATAGCTCACGAAATTTTCATTTTCAAAGAGAAACTAAAAACTTTAGTAGTGCCTGCACATACCTCGTTAAGAAGCAAAGATTGCGATACGACCATGTGCACAATCCTAGAGCACGTTGATGTGAATTAATGGTCAGGCGAATATAAAAAAACTCCTGGGTTTAGTAATCTTAAATAACATCAAATGCGTTCCTGACAAGAACCTGAAAACACATGCAATGAAAGCTGAAATGCTCCAAATTGAGATATCATATTGCCGCTACATTTTCTTTCAAGGCCTAGAGTACAACATTCTATCTTCCGTAGGGATGGTACCGACCATTTCCCGCACCACCATACCCACCTCTACTTCCGTAGAAGGAACCCGCACTACCGCCTCCATAGCCGCCCCCAAGGCCTGCATCATAGCTGCTTCCATAACCACCAGCGCCACCAGCTGCACCACTGCCACTACTGTATGCCCCATAACTCTCACCAGGTCCACCATAACCACCTCCTAGATCATAGCCTCTGCTGAAAGCTCCTCCATAACGTCCCGAGTATCCTACAGATGGCTCCCCTCTATAAGAGCCAAAGCCACCAGCACCACCGCCGCCACCTCCACCACCATATGCCATGTAGCCACCAAATTCACTTCCACCATACCCACCATAGCTGCCGTATCCACTGTATGCACCACCTCTAGCACCGTATGCCCCAGCTGACCTGTAACTGCCACCGCCACTGCCGCCACCAAAATTGCTGCCACCAAATCCTCCATAACTGTCTCCATACCCGCCACCAAATGCAGACCTAGAATCATTGTAACGCTTTGATGGGGCTGGAGGTGGGTTGGGCTTCTTTGGTTCAGCCTTCTTGATCTCCACCTGGGAAAGAGACAAAAGTTTTTAGCTTATTATGCTTCCTTGAGTAATTAAAAACTAAGATCACATAATAAACGACGTTCATTCTTTTGTAAGATCATCACATGTCATGTTAACAAGCATGCATGAATTCTAGCAGGGGTACTTTTTTAACGAGATGAATTTCAAATACACAAGCAAAGCTCAGCAGCAAATGGATCAAAGAATTTAGGCCTCTTTCATTTCACCGATTTGAGTTTTCAGTTTTAAGTTTCTACAGTTAAAAGCTCTTAGAAAATGCCACATCTAACTTCTTCTACTACAGTTAAAAGCTCTAAAGAAATGTCACATCTCAGCTCGAATTGAAAACTCAAATCTGCAAAGCGAACAAGGCCTAAGGCAGGAAGCAGAGAATCGGGGCCAAGGAGTAATTTCTGAAAGTGGCTAGGGATGTGAGGTGGCAAAACATGTTAGAATCAAGGGGTGTTGTGGTTAGGGGAAGTAGGATGAGATTAGGCCGTATTTTGCTAATACAGAGGCTTGGAGTCCCGGAGTACTCGAAATCTCTGGAATTATCACTTTATTTTTCTATTGTTCTTGTGTAATCTGTGTTGCTGGTGTTGATCAATAAGACCCCTGATTTCATCCTTTATTCCCGTTGATTTCTGCTTGTGTGAGTGTATATTTTAGGGTTGTTTGGTTGAGATTTACCAAGTACCTAACAAAAAACAAACTATTCTGGTTTTTGACTACATAAAGAAAATGCAGGAGATTCCAACCTAATTGTCATAGATAAGCATCATTGCTATACACTATCATCCACCCATGCGTCTATTTTATTGATGCATTCGGATTTACAAGATTTTCATATCGACCAACACTAAGATGCAATTGTGATTGTCAACTGATTCATTATACCAGAAGCAGTCAAGAAACAACAACAATAACAATAACAATAATTACTCCTTTTATTAGGGCCCGTTTGGTTCATATACTCAAACTCAACTCATTGATTCTACTACAGTGTTTTTCCTCTCACAAAAAATTTGAATTTCAATCAAGAATCATGGTTTTGAGTATACCTTCCACACGGGCCCTTAAAGTCTCAAAAAAATATATTATTAGCCAATTGTGAAACTACAAATCCTACTTGAGGTTGAAAATGAGGTTAAGCAAGATAAAATGAATAGTCTGCTACACTACGCAAAAGAACTTGTAGCCACACAAAGGTTCAATAAATTATAAACCTCAGAATTCTGTTCGTTAATTGAACAAAATTATGCCCTAGACATATACTGCTTAAACAATCTTTGGCACTCAGCTTACCTGGGATCCAGCCATCTCCAGTTTGTTCCCTTTGACCAAGAGATCATCAACTGCTTGCTCCGTTTCGAAGGTAATAAATCCAAAGCCACGCGAACGACTAGTTGCATGGTCCCGCATAATCTGATGTTCCTTCACTTCTCCAAACTGAGAAAAGAAGTCTCTAAACTCATCTGCCCATATACAAGTAGAAAAAAGTACCTCTATAATCAATATCAAAAACAAAAACCTGTTACAACAATAAAAGCTTAGAGAATGAAAACTAAAAACACCTTCATTTACTGTTGTAGGAATTCCACCCACAAAAATCTTCTTAGTCTTGAAATCCTTAGACCCACCAGCTCCCCTTGGTATTGTCCGCTTGATTTCCACCTTCAAGAAAAGAGGGAAAAAAAAAAGACCCATTAACAAAGAACAATCCAAGATGAATCCTTTCACAAATACAACCGCAAAAAGGAAAAACTTTTGAACAACCATAAATGAAAAAAAAAAAAACCATAAGAAGGCAATTCCTACTTGTTTGCCGTTGATAATATGATTGTCCTGAATAACTTTATCAACCACAGAGGGGTCGGCGTAGGTCACAAACCCAAATCCACGGGGTTGTCCTGTTTTCCGGTCCTTCATTATCACCGAATCTATAATCTCACCGTATTTCCCAAAATGCTTAATGAATTGCGCTGCATTTCCATTTGCCACAAGAGTTTCAATCACAAATTTACATAACAAAATCCCAACTTTCTTTATATTCCAATCAAATAAACGACGAAAAAGATCATACCCGAAGTCGTCTCTCTCGCTAAACCCCCTATAAAGATTTTCCTACAAATTAACAACAGAGAAAAAAGAAACGGAGTCTTTCACTAAGTTTCTCCTAATTCTTATTGATACAAGAAGTTTCTCGCGAACCAAACAGAAGTAGAAGAGAGAGAGAGAAGAGGGATTGATTACCCAGGGCTCGCTCCGTCGCCGGTGTGGGGTTGAGACTTGTAGTCTACTTCTTCTTCCTCTTCTCGGTGGTTTAACCTGTCGGCGGCCTCGTGAGCTTCTCCATTGAGGTTAGCTTCGTTGGTTTGTGAATCCATGGAGGCGGTAGATAGAAATTCAAAGAAGAGAAGAGAGAGAAAGAGAAAGAGTGGTGGAATAGAAAGAAGAAGATGTCGTCGATTTGATTTGGCTTCTTTTTTTTTTTTTTTTTTTTTTGGGGGTGAGTTGAGATGTGAAGGCTGTTCTCTTCTTTAAAAAAAAAAAAACCCTTCTTTTGTTGTTTCGCTGCTTTTGGTACTATTGGCTGCCTAAGAAGGGCACTTCTACTCGTCAGAAAGCTTATGATCCAGTGCGCAACGCCTCATTTGTCCCAGCGTGGGGTGACATTTTCTTTTCCTTTTTTTTTTTTCTTTTTTTTTGTTTAATAGAAACTGCTATTTTACTTTAGTGAATAAATTTTTAACTGTCTTTTATGAGTAAGAGCAAGAACAAACACTTCTGTGTCACGCACTGTTAATTTTTAATATGAATTTGAAAAATTATTATGACAATTAAAACAATATATTCTACCGGTAGAATAAAAAAGCAATTCCCAGTAGGACAATAATTTTTTGCATATGGTGCCTAGGTAAATGGCAATGAGCCATATGTTAAACTACTGTACATAACATACAACAAAATCTCAAGTCTAGACCAACAAAAAATGCAAAATTCTGAGCACCAACATTTTCACAGTACACATCAATGATCTTTGACTTTCCTACTCGTTAACTGATAGTTAGAACGTATTTTGAGGATTAAACCCCCTCCGCCTGTCACGCCTGTAGTATGGAGTCTCGTCTATCGTCCTCCTAACATATTCCATGAAAGGCTGTGGCGTCCGAGGAGACTGATCGCTCAAGACAGCGGGACTGCTACGATCTGGTGCTGCAAACCTCGGAGTAGAAGGGGCAATGGATGGCTGAGATCGGTCGGGCCTATCCAAGAAATAGATGAACATGGCCACTGTTATAAGCAGTAGGGCAACACATCCGAGTACACTTGCCCAGAGGGTAATGTTTTTGGGGCCGTTTGATGCTCCTTTTCTTTCAGGTTCGTAATTAACATCGATTTCCAATTGCTGACCTGTAGAAGAGATGCAACACGTTAATAATTTCGTTCTTGAGATATTGAGATCAACCTTCTCTCACTCTCTTTTCCCCCCCTTTAACTGCCTTGTTTCGATGTGATAGCAAGATCTAGGATATAGTAGTCTCACCGTTGGCCGGAAGTCTGATGGTGATTTTATCCTTAAATTTCTCATTTCCTAGCACCTTGACCTGAAGACAAGGAAGATATGCTCACTGAAAGAAATAAGATCCAGCACTGTGTTCGTCAAGAATTAATACGCAACGCTCACCTCATACTGAGCTCGGCCACCAATACCGAAATCTTCTTTGTGAATGGGATTAATGATCAACAAATCACGCTCATGCCAATAGAATTCAACATCTGCAATCACAAGAAAACCAGTGTCATAGGACGCCAGAGCCATGACTGCATTCTTTAAGCAGACGGGAACCATTAAGAGCACAAATCACAAGGGAATGAAGGGTTGGGAAATTAAGTGATTTCCTCTCCTTGCTCCTTGGTTCATCAACAACACATACATGGCTTTGTACATGCACGTGCACACATTGTGTGCACTCACGCATACAATGAGATGAAGCCTAAGGACTTGTTTACCTGTATTTCCCATGATGGTTATGACAGTCTTGTTGGAGTCTGCGGTCAGGTTTAACTGCATTGCATCCTCAAATATCAGTTTTTCATATCGCAGCATTAAATGAACGTTAAAAATTAAAGATCAAACTGATTTAGTCACAGCAAAAACTTGCTATCCTTAGCCAGTATGTCAAATAGGCATAGGTCGATGGAGTTTGTATTGATGCAAAAGAAAAGAAACTGGATATTAAACATAATGAACAACGTTACCTTCCCCATCTCCAACATGGAAAACCCTCCAACGAATAGAGCAGATGCAGATCCAGAAAGATGCTTGGCTTCTCTCAATGAGGCATGAATGTAAATAGATATATGCGGTTTCAGGTCCTTGGTCTTGGGCATCAAATGAACCATATGCTCTGGTGAGTAGGGGAAGAAGAGGCAATATGAATTACCGGTGTCAATATCTGACCATGGCTTTGCGTACCTTCAGTCCATGAAGCAAAGAATATCAAAACATGAGGTGATTATTCTCTATACACAACCAAACAAGTCAAGACACCAGAACGAAAACATACCCAACAAAAGGAGGGTCTACTCTGCAGTCATATGCAATTCCATCAGTCTTACTCTTTCCAAGAGCTTTAACGTTGTTGCCGTGAGTCTTACTATTGTTAGGAGAAAAACAGAAGATAAATAACAAATGCTATTTGAAATAAGAAAACATAACTAGATAACAATTTATTAAACACACTGATGATGCAGATAATGGGCACTAGAACCAGAACAGTATAATACATAGACAGATGAAACTACATCCAAAATAAATGTTAAATGAGTTGGTCCAACCCTCCAATGCACAAAAATGGTCTACAAACCTGAACTTTACTAGGAAGCTATATCCTTGTGTAGGGA